GAGGAAGAAGGATTGCTAATTTCAGCTCAATGGGCTCATGAAAAATCTGGACACTTGGGTGCCAAAGCTACCAGGGAATTGGCAGCATATAGGGGGATTCCTTGTTTGGTGGGTGCAGCTACCACAGTAGCTACCAGATGTGAGCTCTGTTCACAGCTAAAGCATATGCCTCTATCAAAGACTCCAATGGGGAAATTGCATAGGGGAAAGGGTCCAGGGCAAATCTGGCAGATAGATTACATCGGACACCTGCCAAAACATGGAAGATGGCAATTAATACTGACTATGGTAGATACATATTCAGGATACCTCCTGACTTACCCAAATGCCAGGGCAACTGAGCAGAGCACCACCAAATGGTTAGATCTTCTGATCAGGAGATATAGGGTACCCCTCCAGATCCAATCTGACAACAAAAGCCATTTGGGGTGGGTGGAAGAGATTGGCTAATGAGTGGAATATTCAATGGATTTATCACATTCGCCATCGTACTCAGGCAGCAGGCCTTATTGAACAACAGAATGGCCTTTTAAAACAAAAATTGAAACAATTAACTCCCTACCGTACATTGAAAGGGTGGGTAATGGTACTCAAACAAGCAGAGTTTGAATTAAATAATCATCTCATACATTAAATTATTACAATCACTCTACTTTCACTTGTGTCTCACTTTTTTTCGAAGACCATTTTCCCCAAGATCTACTCCTGATTCTACCAAATAATAGCCATTCCATTATTCAGAAACATTATTATTCCACATTCAGAACCTCTCATCAACTTTGTATCTTTTGGTAATTCTCTCAATCTTTCACCACAAACAATCAAATCAACTGTACTTATAGATTTATATGCATTCCTCTGCTGTATGTATGTATAAATACACTATGCTTATACCATGTATTCCGAACATATCTTTTTCCTAACAGATACCTGCCAATTGCTATTTTCATTCATTCTTGGGTCTCCAAATAGCCTAGTCATTTTATATATGTATACTCTTTTGCCTTGTTCCCACCCATCCATTCCATATCACCTAATATTTTTTTCTTCTGGATATATTTATGCAAAATGTTAGAGAATGTTCCCCCAAACATATCTTTGATTCATCCTGCTATCAATTTCTACTTTCAGAAGCACTTACAACAACTTAGATGCCATCAATTCATACTTTCGGACATACATTTTAGTCCTTTGATTCATATTTAAATCTATACCTTCACCTCCCTGCATACATAGTCAACTCCACTCCTGGCAATCCTTTCAAGTAGGCCAGGCCAGGAAACAAAGTCCACAAGAATTGCCAGAACTCTCTTTTATTGATAGAAGTAATAACAATGGAATCTTGAAAGCTTGACAGTGTTTTTCCTCCTTCACTATTACACCCAAGAGAGTTAAGGTGGAGTCACTTTAAGTTTCTTTCTAATGTTTTCTTCTTGTCCTGGGCTTAAATCATATTTTCGTAACTGCAGTTGCAGAGTTCCTCCAAGGTCATCTCTGTGGTTCCTTATGCCTCCACAAGATCAAATTACCTTCATTCATTACAGCCTCATATTTTCTCTTAGCTGAATAGACATGCTTTGTTTGTTTCATTTCAGTCATTAAAAAATGAATGCCCTTTGACATTTACTCATCTTACATTTCAAGTTGCAATCCTCCGTATGCCATATTTGTCACTAGAAGGAGCCATGGATGTTGACCTCCACCACCCATTATGGCTTTGGTCAACTGAGGCTTTCATATAATGTTTCATAGTAAGATAAAAAAGGGGTAGATTAGGTTACAATACTTAGTAGAACCCATACCTTGTGCAGCATTCCCTGTTCATAGTAAGCTTATCAGCAATTAGTTTTTACTAATTTACCCAGAATACCACAAGCTCAACTAAAGCCCAGTTTTTCCCCAAGCATGGTCATGCTATTCTATATAAACTAAGATGTATAATCTAGACACTACCTTTCAAACTAACATACTGTGCCATTAATCATATTAATTCATTATCTGGCAGAAAGGTATAGATCTGCTGATAATACAAACATCTAAAACAAATGGAAAGGCCTGTAATAGTTTATCTCAGAATGAGGCAACTGGCATGAAAATGGATTTCAATGTTAGTAAATGCATACTGGGAAGAAATATCATTCAGGGAATATAAATATCAGAATCATAATGGAAAGATCTTTGAGACAGAAGCCAGTGCAAATAGGCATAAGCAAAAAGTTTATATAATGTTCCTAACTATATTTAAAGCAAATTTAAACATTAAATTCAAAGCTTTTCTAGGAACACGTTTATTTATCAGCAAGCAACATTTGCAATGTCCTGACTTAAAATGTGCCTATGAAATTAGGGCACAGGAGATTCAAAGCAAAGGAAAATATTTTCTAAGCTACAATTAATTAATGTATGGTTCCTTGGATGATGCTAAGACCAATAATACAATTGGCTACTAAAAGTATTAGAACAATAAATAGGAGAAGTTAGGGGAGATGTCTGAAGGATATCAAGAGATTAACATATTCATTATGTTCCTAAAAGACTGAAATTTCTGAATGGAATAACAAGAATCTTATAAAGATATGGTAACAACATGCTCTCACTAAATGTGGTGCTTCCATAAATAGATAAATTACCCTGGTTGAATCATAATGGTCACTGAAGCCTTTTGCATGTCCATACCCAAAACTGAAAAGTGCATGGGTCTGAGGATGTACATACAAGCACCATTGTTTCTGTCCTTGGGCATCTAGGTATTCACAGAGATCTTCTTCTGTTCAGCACTAAGATCTAAATGTGGGTAGGGAAAGTATATGTAAATGAGTATATCTACAAGCTTTTTCCTAATGGAAAACTATGCCCTATTAGGTTATCAGGTATTGGGAAGTTTATAAGGGTGTTCAGTTAATCATACTAAGATCTCAGTATTCAAAACACAAAGGTCTGCAGAGGAGTAGGATGTGCAGCAAGATTGGTGAAAGTGATGCTGTGCACACCCAAATTCCCATTTCCTCTTTAATTGCCATTTCAATCATCATGTGCTAACTCCTCTTTCAACTCATACATCCGTAGAGGTTAAAGCAGAGCTACCAACAGGAAGATCTGTTTTTTTAGCCTCTGCATCCATAGCTTTCCAATTATTTCACTGTATTCGTACCTCTCTTTTTCCCAATTCTAAATAGAAATAACATTTTCAGTGTCTCTTTAATTTCCCCTTTTCATTGTTAGTCTTTGTTCATACATAGCTTACTCCTTTGTTCATACATAATTTACAGCTTTCAAGTAACAGATTCACCATATTTTCCCACTTCTTCATGCTTTACGTTCGGCACCAATAAGTGTTATTTTATTTCTGCAGATTACTCTGTCTTGCTTCTTTCTTGCAGGTTTTATTTGGAAATCAACCCTCACTTTTTTAAGGGGGAGAGTATTGACCCTTGAGTCTTATCTATTTGAAGAGAAAGGTCTGGTGATGTAGAGATTCTTCCTTCTTCTTGAAAGTCTAGTCACAGGAGGGCAAAGAAAATATGACTGGCTATCTCAAGCCCACAGAATAGTTTAAAGGCCCTTAAAACAGATTTGTACACACCCTGCTACATCAAGCCCAACAGGGAAGGTTGTTGTTCATGCAACAGTTCATGCATGGACAGGATATACACCCAAAAACCTAGGGTTGGAGCTTTTACTTTCTTTTTGGTACAACTTGTCAATGTTAATGTCATGGTCTATTATGGATGCAAAACTATATAGCTTGATTAAGCTTCACCTAATATGAATTAGGCCTGGTTTAATGTACTACTTATCAGCCAATTTGCTATTTATTAGAGGTTAAATAAACTGCATTTTGTTGCCTGCCCAGGAAAAATAAAACAGGTTCACAATACAGTTTGATATCCCTTAAGCTATGCTGTCATTCCCTAAAGATAACCTCCTTAAAGATTTCATTGTGGCATAAATGTCTTTTAAATATGCTAATAGAAAGCAAGGTTCTATAATGTGAAAACAAAGCTCATCCCTATTTTGCTTGTTAAAACTGCCTTTCTAATAGTAATCCGGGGGGATGGGGGGAAGGAGGTAATTAGCAGCAAGTAAGCTGTCCAGTGAGAGGAACAACCTCATTACTAATTTTTGATTATTGCTGTGATCCAGAACAACAGTTGACAACATAGCACCCATAAGCACCAGAATGCTCCATGTCCCCCCAAAGCATCCAATAAAATAAAATAATAAAAACCAAATAAAATCTCACAATATTGAAAAATCTCCCAAGGTTTCCCAAAATTTCATGAGAAAATGTTAAACCCCAGTGAAACATTGGTGGTCTTGTGCAAAATCTCAGGAATCCAAGAGTATGCAATAACTCTGGGAGCTGCAAAAGATTTCCATCTTTGGTCCACATTATGTTTCCTCCTTATGAGTAGGAATCAGAGATGGACCCTGCACATCTAACTCAGGGCATCATCTGGACATGCTAGTAATTTTGTCCTTGGGTTTTTGAACTAAAAATACTTTTGTTCATGACTTTTCCATCCTAATCGTACTAAGAAAAACAAAACAAAGACAATGACTTCTTCACATTTTCTTTGATAACACAGTTAATTTCTCTCATTCTATCCCGCAGTTGCTAATTGCATGCTGTTTGTTTGTTTTTCTCCTATACCTTATAAAATGTATATGAAATAATATTTACATTCTGTTGTTTACTGGCATATTGAAATGAGTAGTTTTTGCTTCTTACTCCTTACTGGTGAGATGCTGGACCAGGAGTTGGCACATGGGAGGTAAGAAGTTAATTTGACCTTGAAAACTGCAAAGAACATTTGATATGTAAACCATTCTTCACTTTTGTAGTACAAGAACTTTTTCTCCTCAAAACACTCAAATCCATATTTTCAGACTACAACCAACTTCTCATCTTTCACAAATAATAACTAAGTAACAGAGCTGCATTTTTTAGAAGTGTTAAGCAATTAGAGATTCAAGGGTCACAGTTTTGCTTTCATTACCTGTAAGTGATATATTTGTGTTGCCACTTCTGTCCTGTTAATGCATATCGCTTTCGACGGATGTTAAATCTAGAATTGCCTCTCATCTGATCAGGAACTCCACAACGAGGCTTCTTCATCCAGCTTTAAATAAACAAATAAAAAATCAGTACCAGATGATGACAATAACTTCATAATACCATTGGCACCTGCTGACGCATCTGATATATAACCAACTATCATAACTTCTAAATGGTAAGACATTATTTTACACTTCTACATGTAGTTCCTGATTAACATAAATAAACAGCAAATCCTCATAGAATTCCCAAATGAGGAATTAGTATGGGGCAAACACTATGGGAGGTATAGCTGGTTTATTTGCTTGTTTAATTATTTGCTGGGACTTATATTGCCACTTGTCCATAGGGTTCACGGATTTTGTGCAGTTCACTGAGAATTTTATAGCAAATTGAGTTTGTCCAACTATTTTGTGAAAGAAAGAACTGGGTTTGCTAAGTTTCCCTTCAGTATCAAAACTAATATGGTTGAAAGAGCAGGATACAGCAACAGCAAGGATGGGTTCAGCCCCTTCAGCAGTCTAACTCAGGACTGTTTTCTATAGGCTCCCAGATAGGAATCTATATCTGCAAGCCATGCCTAGAGATAGCAAGACAATGAACCTGGCTTTTTGCATGCAAACTGTGTGTTTTGTCTCTGAACCATCACCCTCCTGTAACTCACATTATGAGATGGTAATGTATATTTTAGGGATGAATCAAACCCATATTATTGTTCTATGGGACGCCTCTGCCTGGCATTCCAGCCTGCTGCTTTAACTTGATATATCTCTAAAACTGTTTCTGGGCTGCTTGCCATGTTTCTTTCACTCTCTCCCTCCCTCCCTCTCTTTCTTACAAATGCTAGCACGGAGCGCACACAATATCAATGGGGTTCTGGATACCTACTCCACTGTATTATTATCCATGAGCCCTTGATATGATATGCATTGGCCACATCTGGAGGATGGAGGCTGAAAAATGCAGATGTTTAACAGTCTGATTCAGCACAAAAAATACATTTGGAAGGAAAACACATAATTTGAAACTCACAGACTCTGGGGGAACATTCAGATATGGAGAATGTTATCAGTATCGCTTGTGTACTATTACTCTTCCTCATCAGAAGTCTGAAATTTCTATTTAACCTAATAAATAATTTTCATTATTGCAAGGCAATCATTACTACTAAAATGTCCTGCTTTTCAATCCAGCATTTCATTATATTATAAACATCATTATCTCTGTATTCCTATAATTGTAGCTGATCACAACTATTTCCCAGTGTTGTATTAAATTCTGGTTCACTGAAATTACAAATGGCTGGGCTATTCATATTTTGCTATTTTTATGGAGCTATTCTCAACTTCCAGTGCAGGAGCACTCTAATGCAAAATAAAAATAAATTAGATCTTATGTCTAATTTCATGTCTTGGATAAAATTCATGCAGAATGAAGTCACAGAACTGATCTCTTTTGGTTAAAATGTGGCAAAGTCTGTGCTGGACTGATTGTGGTTTGTTTGTTTGATGTCACCTGTTTTTCCAGCTGTTCCCCTGAACTAATTTTGCTTATTTCTTCTGAAGACCAAAAACATTCTGACATATTTGTATCTTTTCCACTTTATACTAACTCTACTTATGAACAAACTATAATTTCTCAGTGGAATAAGTCCACAACAACTGTGGCATTCTCTTTAAAAAAATGTGCCCAAACTATGGAAAAGATCCAAGTGATCATCTCTGTCCACACAACAGCTCTACATACATGTAATATGCCTGGAGGATCACACCATAGTAAAATGATTGCCAAGATACATATATGAAATTAATCATAATCCATAATCTTATGAAGACCAAGGAAAGTTTCTGTGAAACACACATGTTGTCGTTTAACTTAGAAGGTCTACAAGGCAATTGTTCTTCTTCAAAGAAGTCAAGCAAATGACTGAGTGCTCTGTTAGCATATGGAAAGTCTCTGACTTAACTCAATAAATTACAGGGTCACTGTGATAGAAAAGACAAAAAATTGAAATAAAAGGATATTCTAGTCTTGGTACACAAACTAGTTCTCTATTGAGGCCACAACATCTTGATGGTGTAGGCTAGTCCTAGAAATGGTATTGTTCTGGTGCAAGTGAAAGGATTTAGAAAGAAGCTTCTCATATTAGAAAGGACTGATTTAGAAAGAAGCTCCTCATATTATTTTAAATGGGACATAAATATCTACATTTTATACTGTTTTTATACAGTTCCTATGCTTTCCTAGGGATATCACAATAATTACTAAACTTTTAATAATTTTAATTTAAAATATGTGTACTGTGGCTTTAACCTGAGGAACATAAAATGAGTTCAAGACACCATGGTCTCCCAAACCTCCAATTCTGCTCCCCCCTCAAATCAAACAGTTCCTTCCACCCAGCACACACCTAGGGGAAGAGAATTATTATCAAATAAAAAATGTCCCAAATCAATCCAATCATCTACAAGTCCTTGAGTATTCCTGAAGAAGCCCCATAGACAGTAGCCTCCCATGCCATGAAACAGTCACTAAATATAATCAGTTGTGAACAAGAATCCAAAATAAAGAGAAAACTATCATTTTCCCTTGTCCAACAGAAGCTTTGAGCTTGATGCTAGTGAAATAGATAAAAAGTCTTTTGGAATCACCACAAAAGAAACTGTGTGCTTACTGAGATAAGAGCAGGCTTCCAATTTAAAATGAATGTTCCAGAGAAACCATTCATGTGCTTAAGAAAACAGATCCTTTCTTCAACAAACAATAGTTTGCACATTTCACAGTAATAGCAATGCCCAGCTTCAGTCAAATTCAGGGACTATTAGGTGTGCTTTCTAATTGTTAGTTTTCAAAGCAGGGCTTCTCATGGAGTGGTTTTAGTAAATATTGAGATGTAGCATGGAGCTGCTTTTCTGATGCTTTTTAAAGATACAGTCTTTAACATCCTCACATGTGGGATATCCCAGACAGGTGAAAAACATCCCAAAATTATACCTGCTTGCAAATTTTAATGGAAAATAACTCTTACATAAACATTTGTTCTGAAGTAGGCTAAAATTTTAATAACTATCCAAATAAGTAAATAAATAAGGGAGGAAGCCCCCACCCCCATTCCAGAAGATGCAAGAACCATTTGCAAAAAAAAAAAAAAGCTTAACAACTCAATGGGAGACACATAGTTTAAATACAAAAAATACACAAAATGCAGGATGCAAGACAGTTTCAATTACTTGGCTCTCAAAAAGAGACTATATCTGGTTGTAGTTAGGGTAAGGTAGCTACCTAGTTTTAGAACAAAGCTTCACTCATGAAAGAGAGGACCTATGAAAACAGGCAACTTTCTTTTAACCCCCTGTGACTTATTTGGAGCTGATTAAGGGGTTGGAGCTGATTAAGGGCAGATGCCCACATATATGCCCCCGTTTGGAAAATGGACAGCTGAACAGGATCAAAAAATGGGCATGTACAGAGAGTGATAACAAATGCCAAGCAAGCCAGACAGCCATGGCATGAACTACAAAATACAGTGGTGCTAAATTTAAAGCTCTACAGCTGCTAAACAATATCTTGGATAAATGGGGGGTGGGACAGCATTAACAATTGATTTCTGCTAGTTTTCTTTCTGTGGCTGCACATGGACAACTACAGCACATGGCCTTGTAGTATTTAGTCAATTGTATCACTTCTGATGATTTGAAAAACATTGCTTGATGGCCATCTCCACAATGCTATCAGCTGATTTGACAAAATCTGGCAGCTATCTTTCTGGCACCTAAAGCTCTGAACAAGAATAAATTAACTATCTGATCCAACTGATTCTTTAAACCCACAAATTTAAATGTCTAAATCTCAGCTAATACAATTTGAGTATTTTGAATGTATATATGAATACATATATGTACTATATGAATACATATAGTAACCAGGTTTTTAGGCAATCATTATACATCAAATATACCATAGCCAAAATTTTAACATAACTATCGTAGCTCAGGTGATACAGAATATATTTGTTCTCTTTCTGCAGTTTCTGTAAAATTTTAAATCTTTTCCATTTATTGTAGAAATATAATATTTTACAGCTACTGGTGTGTGCAAATTATCTTTAAAACATAAACAGTCCATAATCTTCTAGGAGCTGATACTTCAAACTGAACAAATGTCAGCATAGCATGCAATTTCCATGCATTTAAACTACACATATATAACACCAAGAAGAAGCACTTAAACACACTGCAGTTACCAAATAGAAAAGATAGATGCTCTCACCTTAAGGTGATATCACTACATCAAACGAAAGAGGCAAGGGATTAAAAAAAAAAAAGATCTATTATCCTGTGTAAGAAGTATTCTGGACACCAATATTAAACAATATTTTAACAATGTCACTAGAACATTCATTCCAAAATGTTGGATTTGTCTGTGAGCATAAGTTATTTCAGAATTAGAGCTGATGTAAACAGTGGTTTAGTACATACCTAATAAAGAGGCTACTTTCAGGCATGAATAAAGAGCATGAGAAGATTGAAACTACTCTCCAGTTCGTATAATTATAAAAATCATTATAGCTATATAACATTGCACAAGAGTTCAGTCAGAAAAATCAGAGAGTGTTTAAACAAAACAAATCTATAGGCAGGAAAGTCAAGTGAAATTTTTATTTATTTCAAAAATTATATGGCCATCTGTCTTATACATGATCATCCTTGGTGGCTCACAACAACATTCCATAAAAAACTATCTATCTACAGTACCTATCTATCCACACACACACAAAACCCCCAAAAACACATACTTCCCACCACAGTGCCACAACATCCCAGTGACGCTACATTTGTTGGGGTCACGTCCAGCCTAGCCTAGCACTTGAGTGAAGAGCCAGGTCTCCACAGCCGTCCAGAAGGCTAAGGAGAGTGGAGACCCTCTGAATCTCAGGGGGGAAGCTATTCCAAGGGGCTGCCAAAGAGAAGACATAGGAGAAAGGTCCTACCTTTGAATGGAAGTTGCAACACATACAACCATCAGTGTAAGCCTCACACATGAAGAGTTCATTAGAAAATATAC